GCCGGGCTCCCCCGCGCTTCCGGGCCGCTCGCGGGAGTTCTCTGCCTGGCGGCGGCGGGGAGACTCGCACTCCCGACAGAGGAGCTCCTCTGTGCCCTCCCGCTCCCTGGGAATTACCCGCTTTCCCTCACCCCTTCCGGAAGGGCATGTAAGTGTGTCTGGTGGGGAGCCCGAAGGGGGACTAGGCACAGGGGCACAGGGCATTTGGGACTCCCCACCAGTTTTGCCATAAACCTAAAGTTACTGTCTCAAAAAACAAGTCTTAAAAAACTGTGCGTAGTAGGTTGGCGGGGAAAGGAGCGCGCGGATCACTGCCTAAGGGGCAGCTCGTTTTCGGCCGCACATTCAAGATGTTGGTGCGGATGATTATCTCCAGAACCCCTTAAAGCCAGTGTCCTCCTCAAGTTCTCTCCCGTCCGTCCCTGGGATGGACAATGGCGGCGGCTCTGGGAGTGCCTGTGTGCGGGGTAGCGTCCACAGTGCAGGGCACCAGCAGGCCCTCCCCGCCCAGTCCTGGCAGCCCTCCTCACATTTCTCCCTCTCCACCTCTGCCAGGCCGAGCTGGGTACACGCAGAGATCAGCAGGGCCCTGCCCTCCTGCAGCTCACAGTCCCGGTCTGTGGGAAGGAGGGTGGTGACCAGACTCGGGGCCTGGCTGCCTGGAGCCCTCAATGGGCACATCCCATGGTCCAGGGCGTCAGGTCCTCCCCCACCCTGGGAGATACCCGCCAAAGAGCCTCATGTTCCTTGGGTGACAGCTGGCAGGGGAGTGGACTGACTGCAGGATACCCTGGAAACTCTCCGAGGGCCTTGGGGAATCAGACCAACCTCACCCAGGAAAGCGGGGCTCAGGCTGAGCCCTCGGCCCTGTGAGGAGCCCTGGGCACTGACCAGAACGGGGCCTGGGAGGATGGAGCAGACGCCCGCCTCTGCCTCTGCAGACCCTGAGCTCCCCATGTCCCTGGCACCCGGGACAGCAGAGAAGCCATTGGCTGGCCCAGCACCCGGGCTCTGGGAGGCGGGTCTGTCCAAAGCCCTCGTGGTTTCCTTGGCTGCCTGTATCTGTCCTTGAGCCACTCCCGACTGGGGAGGGCAGCCCCTCCTCTAAGCCCTTGCCCCCTCACCAGGAGCTGGGGACACTCCCCGGACGTCCTCTTCCTGAGTTAGGAGGTCTACCCCCACCTGGCACTGCCCATCTCCAGCCACACCTGGGGAAGGAGCCCTGCTCAGCCACACCAGTAGGTGGCCCTCCCACGCCTCTGAGCTGCTGCGGCTCTGAGCTGTGGCTCTGAGCTGGGCCCATGTAGGCCCATAGTAGACAACTCCCCTCCCTCTGCACCTCTCACCTGGCTGGTAGACAGAAGGCCGGATGCTGGCAGTGGTGACACCCCGTGGCTTGGGTGCAGGGGCTGCAGGGCTCTCGCTGTAGCTGGGGTGGGTGGAGGGTGCTGGAGAGGAAGCCACTGCAGAAGCCTGGGGCCTGGAACAACAGGGGAGAGTTACAGTGAGAGGGTCAGCCCTGTGGGGCCTAGGGAGTGGAACTGAGGGGGAGAGTCACAGCGAAAGGGACAGTCCATGTGGCCAGGGGCCAGGAGCCTAACAGGGAGGGTTCCAGGGAGGAGAAGCTGACGGGGTCCGGCACCTGGAGCTGAGAGGTAAGGTTACAGGCAGGACAGCCCGCTTGGCCGGGCGTCTGGAATCAAGGAGAGTTACAGTGAGGACAGCCCAGTGGCCCGGGGCCTGGAACCGAGCGGGAATTACGGCGAGGACAGCCCAGCGGCCCGGGGAGCAGCTGGAGGCTGTGAAGGAAGGGCCGTGAATGAGAGGCGAGGAGGCTGCTCCGAGAGACTAGTGCTGCCGCCAGCCAGACGGAAAGCCCTTCGCCCCATGGGGACAGGCTGCCGGAGCAGGAGAGGAGAGAGGAAGGTGGTCAGTGGCCCATACCCTCGACCTGGCACCACAGCCCCTCTGCCCCCTCTAACTGCTGTCACTGAAGGAGCCGCCCAGGCTCAGGTTTCTGGGCAGGCATGCCCCAAGGACGCT